AAACAGCTCTCCACACAATCTGTCCTACCTTGTGGCCATGTGCATGCGCAGACTGATGTTACCTCACATGTTGCTTACTCAGCAGATTTCTTATCAGTATGCGCTACCTGTAGAAGTTTCTTTTTGTTACGTTACGTTTTATTTACTTAAGCTGCTGTGTTACTCAAACATATTAACATAAATGGCTATTTTGCTGTTTGCAATATTGTTACCAAACTGTAAACAAGAAATGAGTCTCATTGTTTAACGTCACTTAGTTTACGATCGATGGCCTGTGGAAATATTTGTCAATGGCTTTAGTTTGATGTCTGTAATGTCGTTATTACTCTGTAAACTACAAATGACTCTTTGTTTAGCATCAACCATGTGTTAACTTTTCATTTTAAACGGTTTGGATATTCTGAGGAAGGCAGTGATTTTCTTGTGATTTTAGAAAGGTTTTTGTTGTGCAAATAAATTGTTCCAATGCTGTGCTAAGCATAACTCCTAAGCTTACACTTCAGTAACACCGTCACTTCAAAGAATTTTATCTGATGATGATGTTTTTGTAAACATGACGGCAGCAGTTAGTAGCACCGACAGTAGACCTAGGTATCGAGCCACACACACACAATTTCTCCCGTGTGTTTACAAACAAAACAAATCACAGTTGAGGAGGCTGTGTTTTTAAATTTTATGGCAAAATATTCATGTTGACATACAGTTTGCGTTCCAGCAGTTAACCTCAACACAGTATTTTATTGCTTTTTTTTTTCCTTCTTCTTCTACTCATCTACAGAAAAGAACACTCTGTCATTCATTGAAACCTCAGCTTTGGACTCCACCAATGTAGAAGAAGCTTTCAAGAACATTCTTACAGGTAGGAGACGTGACATCCAGCTATGCACACCTGGACAAAATTGTTGGTCCCCCTCTGTTAATGACAGAAAAAACAAACTAATAAAACAGTCCTGGACAAAAACGATAGAATCTGTAGCTTAAGATTTTATTAAGCAATGTTTTGAAGCAATCGAACAATTTCTGTATTTGTCAAACAGGTATGTTGTTCACTCCTCATGGACAAACTGCTCCAGTTGTCTCAGGTTTGAAGGGTGCAAACTTGAGACAATGTGTATAAACAGCGGGTAAAATAAGTATTGAACACGTCAACATTTTTCTCAGTAAATATA